TATATACATACATCAATATCTGACGTCAGCCAAGAAGTTATTGAGCCTTTTTCAAACGAAGCTGCATGTTCAACTAACAAAGAAAGACAAATGATATACGTAATTATAATGCGCCTTTGGAAAAATATATTTCTTCACAATGACATACTTCTATGCAACAAACTCCATTCACTCACCAAACTGTCTACTTATATCATTATATCATAAACCTCTACATAAATATCTTCATAATTACAGTACAAAATATTTCAAAAAGTTACGTACTCAACAAACCTTACAACAACCATATTTCCTTTAATATCACTGTACATGACATCACACCTTTCCTAACTGTTAAGTGAACATAACAAAAAAGGTCTATGATGATGCATACAACTAACTCTAACTTTAAATGTTTTTCTTTATGCTCAATACACAACAACACTCCACACAACCTCCACCCACCGACAGCACTTAAACATTGCCAGCTATTGTCCAGTGGGCTATTGCATCATTAATGCTCTCGTTTTATTCATATTATTATTATTATTATCATTATTATTATATACAGTATTAGTCATAGTATTATTATTTTAGTATTAAATAGTAATTTTTAAAATATTGTTATTGGTGTTTTATTGGTATTTTTCTCATATTATTATTATTATTAATATTGTTGTTGTCACCTTTATTATCGATATTATTACCCTATTATTACTAAGTAGGCCTAGTATTATAAATATCATCATTATTATTATTACTAATTAGTATTACTATTATTATAAAAATAAACATCTTTAATTCATTATTGCTGTTATTAATATTATTGCTATTATCACCTTCAATATCGTTACTATCACTAATTAGTATTATCAAAATAGATATTTAAATATCGTTATTAATACCATATTAGTATTATACTATTACTAATGTTAAAATAAATATTACTATTAATATTAATTATCACCTTTATTATCGTTATTATGACTAATTAGTATTATTAAATTAAATATATAAAAAAGAAGTGTCACCGACATATCACCGGGGATTCACGTCATTGGATGCATCCTTGTCACTGATGGGTTTCAAACATAGCCCCCAATGGTCGAACAAATATGAAGGACTGAAGCGAAATGTCTGTCACTCAACAATACCAATTGTTCCTATTGTGGAGAATTGATACTAGATGATATGCACCCCACCTAATTTTAACGTAGGCCTAATTCTTGGGTGTGGTTCTAAAGAAAATAGTATCGAAAAGCACGCCATCGTGCATTCATTTGATTTTACTCGGATTCAAAATAAATTTTTAACATTTAAAAAATCATAATGTGGTTTTTCTATTTCAATGTTTTATGATTAGGTCTACAGTATGTACTCATGTTTTAGCCTGGGTTCAGGCCCTAATTTTGGGTTATTCACTCTTTATTACACTTAGTTCGCGCCATACCTAATTTAATTGGCGTCCCATACCCGATATCTTTTTTTTTACGTCTCTAAATTAACTTTATCATTGGTGGCGCTGTCCAGAATGAGAAAAATATTAAAAAATAAGAGACTTGTGGCAAGCCTCTCATGTTTTATGTCAGTGTTTTAACATGAAAAAAAATTAAACATTAATACTGTATATGTGTTTTTATTAATTATTAAGATTGCTTAAATTGTTAATGTTACATTATTGTCAGATTTTATTCCATTCTGTAAGTGGCTGGTTTTCTCTGTTGAATAAGAGTACAGTGTGAAGAAATGAATACCGTACAATGATCTCACGACAATAATCAGAATTTTACTAAAATAGCTGTGTACTTCATTTCAATCATAAAAAGTAAAAGGATGCAAAAACTGAGTAATATGTACATTACATTTTAATTATAAATAACTTGTGGCCGAGTTGACTTGTGGCCGAGTTGACTGTGGCCGAGTTGACCTGCTTCCTTCAAAACTGCCCATACATATCCATGCGCATGCCCAGAATGATCTATCAGGGATTTTCCACACATGTACAGTACTTGTCTGCAAAGAGTATATAACAGTTATATACTCTTTGTTGTCAGTAGTGAAGTCACAATGCGATCGTGATTGCCTTTAAACGGACGGTAGAATTAAGCCTACAATATTTTGAATTTTGTTGTTTTTAGATAATAAACAACATTTTAAATATGGTAATAATACTGTAAAATGAAGACAAATAATAGATTTAGATAAGCATCACGATCTACGTGGCCCACATGGCTTCAATTGGGCGATGTTCTAGGCCTTGGCTGGCTAGCGTCTTTCCTACACGACTAGGCGAGAAAAACAAGACGATTGTACACAAATCGTACGTACTGCATGCCTATTAGAAATTGTTATTGTACAAACAAATTTGTTTTATGAACCACCAATTTCCTTGGTTTGACAACATACATGAAATTTAGTATCTGCTATAGCCTATTTCAGTCAAAGTTTTTGACTTTCCAAGCAGATTTTGAAGCAAATAAATCTAGGCTAGGTCAGCAAAAAATTTCCATCCTGTAGCTATTCTGGCTCGGCAATATGGTCGGCAATTACCGACGTGAAATTTGTGGGTTGGTTTTAATATATATGTTAAATACATTTTAGTAGCCATTCCACGGTTTTGATCTTCCTTCTAAAGCTAGAAAAATTCCCTACTTCGAGGTCTACTTCGAGGCCTACTTCGATGCCTGGTGGGAAAGAAACTTTCCCATAACCAAGGTTCCCATGGTGCTCATGAGGGTATGAAAGCATATTCTTTGTACGCCACCTTCAGGAATGTGGACAAATTACACTGCAAAGACAAAAGTAGGTAAGACGCTAAATATACAGTAGATGACTAGCTATTTTTAGCAGGGTCATGGCAATGGCAGTGAAGGTGTTCAAGTGCGGTCATCTACTTCGATGTCACCATTAACTTCGAATCATCTATCTGATGATCATACTGTATTTATAACAAAAATTCACAAATAAATTGTAAAATATATTTTTAATGAAATGTACATATATTTTAATATTCTGATATAAAAGTATATGTAATTAAATAAATTAAATCATAATCGTAAGAGTATTGCACTACTCCTAGGACTGTATTATGACTAATTCAGAAATTGATAAATAGCTTTTTTTATTGACTGGACTACAGTAGTAAAAATGTTAATATTATTATTATTTTATTTTTACAGATTTTCCACAAATGGCCGTTAAAGAAGGTGATCTGGATTGTGTTACTGATGTTGATATTGATAGTGATGGCATTTTTAAATACATTCTTATCAAAATAAAAGGCGAAGGCTGTTCAAAGTATATTGTGAGAGGGCATGCTTGGGCCGAGTATCATGGTAAGAACTGGTTAGTTGATAAATTGTTCTGCTAGGCCCAGGCTAAACATCTTTCAATTATGGAGTTTGTCGTCTATTTTTATTAGTATACCGTAAATGCATGAATAAGCGCCACTCTGGAATAAGCCCACACTGAAGCCTCCAAAAATGTTATAAGCGGCACTGGGCTTATATTTATGGTACTGCCTTTTTTTAATAAGTGAAAACCTGTTAACAGTGTTATTTTATGTTTTTACTTTAACAGCAGATATATATGAAAGGGAAGAAAAATCACTAGGAAGAATTAAAAGTGAATGTGTTGGTGGTGGAAGAATCAAGCATGACAGTAAAAACAAACACATCGTTGTATATGGTTACTCAGTAGTAAGACAAGCTTTTTTTAAAAATACAGCGAGACTTTTTATACCTTGTTTAGCGAACCCGCTTACTGCAAATATTGATGATTTCAAATAAAATTTTATTTTTTGGCCAATTAGCGCACCCACCACCATGAAAAATGGAAATTTCAGTAAAAAATAAAAGTTTTTCTTAATTTTTATTACGTTCTCTGCTGCCTTGAAATCTCCAAAGTTAAGATATGTATTTCTTCCTAATCATATAAATTTCAAGCATTTAACCATCCTATTTTACATTCACCAATTAAATTTTATTTTTATTTTCTCCTCTGTCTGGATGATTTTGGCCAAACTACTTGCTAAATAAGAATAGAAAATTTTATTTTGTTTCCACCCTGCTCCGATAATGTTTAAAAAAATAAGTATGCGAAACAAGGAATAAAAAAAATCTAGCCTACAGTACATTTTATTTTTAGAGATGTACAGTAGAGAATTGTTTTGGTATGCAAGTCTATTATTTTGCTAGGATTGAGTACAAAAGACCTTGATATTCACAAGCACAGGTGTCCCAAGAAGCTGCTTCGGGAAGAACTTACAATGAGTTTCTTAAAAGGTGGGCGCTCGCTGCATCTTAAGACAGGTGACTCCGCTGCCTGTGAGCACTAAGTGAAGCGACTCCGTCTGCTGACTGTCGGTTGCAGTCTGAACGAATCATCATTAAAAACGATGCATTGCTTGCACATCGTGGCATTATGTTCTCCATAGAATGCATCTGCCTACGACCGTCGGACGCAGTCGTACTAGCTTAAATCCTGTTAGTGAGAATCAAAAACATTGGTTCATGTGCATGCATATTCCCATTTCTAGCGAAGTTTTTTCGCCTCAGCGAAATCAGTAGCTACGAACTGTTTCTGCTTTTGCGAAGCGAAAAAAGGTGCAACCAATCAGAGCTCACAAAGCGAACCAATGCTTTTGATTCGTGCATAGTGGAAAACGACTTAACACATCTTATATATACATATTATTTTGCTGTGCATAGCGATGCTCATGGCCAGCTAACTTTAGAGAGACATCACATTTGTAAAAACATGCAATCATTGTAATCTTGTGGGGAATGGGTTGGTTTCTAAAGATTTTTGCTTGTTTTTGAGAGTATGTGAGATCATGCCAATCACCGGGAGACTGTGCAATTTGTGGCAAGTTTGGGACGCCTGCAATCATGACTACTAAACCACACCACAATATTTTTAAAAAATTGTACATATTGTAGGTGTAACATTTTGTATATTCACTTTAATACAGGTAGGAAACACTCAAACAGTGATCTGATGAATATGATTCAAACACACTTTAAACTATATTATGCAGAATGAAGTTTATTTATCTTTATTTTCAGGGCTTTGGAAAGGCTGATCATGCTATCACAGTTGGTCTTTTAAAGAAAAAATATCCTGACTATGATAGTATAACATGGAACAATGAAGGTTACTAAACAGTAAAGTGTTACCAACAACAACATTTGAAAAATAAAACAGAAAACAACCTATGGATTGAAGAAGTAAAAATTGTATGTTTAACTCCGTAAATCTAATAATTTAAAGTAAAAATTTGTTTACTTTTAACTCTGTTAACTTTGTTACTACTAACGGTAGTCTCAGATTGACTTGATACGATTGAAGGAATGTGGCTGGGCATTATGTGAATTTTTAGTCCATAATGTTTCAATCCTGTGTACTCGTAGGAAATATGGCTTTGAATGAATATTTGGACACAATCATATGTATTGTGCCTGGAATGCTTGAAGTGTATAAGTAATGTTCTACAGAAAAATTTTGAATTTGTCACGGCATAACACACAATGCGTTTGCGCCTCAAGCCTATTCAGGTATGGGTGCCTGCCACTATCCATAGCAAAAATTACTTTATCCATTATATTTTCAACATCTGTTGTTAGAGTAGCTTTGATTCAGTGCTACAGTCGCGTTTATTGTTAATTGCAAGAGTGATTGCTAAATTATAGCAATGTTTCTTCACAAACTGTAGCTCTGAAAGTGAAGTGATCCATCGTAGCAGAGATTGGTGTTAAAACAGTTGGGATTTTAAATTCCAAGACTGACACATCTTTTGGTGTATCAGTCAATTTCTTTGCAGAGATTAATATGTATCGCTTTTATTCTCATTGAAGACATTGGTACGAACAGTTGCTGCTGTAGGCCTTTACAATCTCTTGCCTGCACAATGTATGTGATTTGTACAGTTTTTTGAAGAACCCTTTTGTTTTCTAAGATCCGATCTTTTTTCAGTTTTAGAGTTTTAATCAAGGCATTGGGTGTGTAGAATTTTCTTAGATTAGGACATAGGTTGATTGATGCGCTATTACATATTTGAGCCTTGCCAGGAGCAGATCCAGAGATGTCCAAAAGGGGAGCCGAAAGTTGGGCTGATCGAGACAACACTTTCCTAGGGGGTCCGGGTGAATTCCCCCGCGCCATTTTTGTGTTCTAGACGTCTGAAAATAACATTTGAGGCGTTCTGGACTGTCATTTTTTTTTCTTTTTCTTTCTTTTTTTCCCCTTTTTTTTACCTCCCAAAAGGGGGAGGGGCCCTAAATCCGCCCCTGCTTGCCATCCAAAAATTAGCGTACTGTTGCTAAATGTTAAACTGAGTAATTTGCAATAAGTGTGTGCCAGTACTTTAGTACAGAGAAGCTGTAAATACTGTATATTAAAAAGTCAGTTTTGGCATGGTAAGCTCTATACAGAGGCGGATCCAGAGGTGTCCCAAAGCGGGGCCGATCGAAGTAACACCACCCTAGGGGGTCTGGGAAAATTCCCCCACGAAATTTTTGTTTTATTAATGCCCGAAAATAACCTCTGAGGCGTTTTGGGCGATAAATCCACCCCTAAATACACCCTTGCCATATAACTTCACTAGACAGTTATGTGTGATGAAATCATGACAAAAATTAAAATCCCAACTGGAATCACTGCTTTTTTATGAAGTCTTAAAAAAAAAAAAAATTGACAGCAGTAAAATAAAATACAGCACCTACTCTACATATATGATCATCTATTCTCAATGATATAGAGCTTTGGTAAATCGACACATTATAACAAGAAACTTCATAGTTTTTGACTAATGTAATGTTTTATTTTTTCCACTGTAAAAAATGCTCACAGCTAGTAATAAAATTAATATAATACACTACAATACTCGACAAGTCAATCACATTTATGATTAACCACCTTAAAATTTATTCAGTCCAGGAATTCAAAATGTACTGTCCAATTGTGCTACCAGAATACCTCAACCCTTGGATGGTTGGCGCTGAGTTATGACATTTTATAAGGCACTTCTAGATGGCCAGAAATGGCACTCTCATGATTGTTATTTTTCTCCTATAATCTTTTAATTTTCAAAATATATATTTTTTTTTTTTTTGGGTGGGGGAGGGGGGTGCAGGCCAGCTGGTGGTCCCCTTGAATCTTCCAAATATTTATAAAAATACTGTAAACTCTTAAGCTATATAGCCATTATAGTGTACAGGTAATAGTTGGTGCAGGAGGCATTTTATCAAGACAACTTTCATGGCACAAACAATTTTTTCCAGGCCTTGCACCTATGATGTTCTTGAGGTCAAAACTAGCAATGAGAGCCATTAAGCATATATTATTGTTAATTACTGCAATAGTAACTAAAGTGCTAAAAACAAGTTTTGTTTCTATTTTTTTTTTATACAGAATTACTTTTTTTGTCTTACTAGCGGCAACACCATATACAAGCAAAGTGGAACAAAAACTGTTGATATTTTGAGACTTTCAAAACATTTATTTAAGCTTCTAGGAAATTGTGCTCTATGAAGTCACGCTGTTTAAAGATATTAATTATAAAGCCTTGTAAAAATGGCCACTTAAAATAGACCAATGTACATATGAGGGGAAATTTACAGACCTCTTAACATTGTATCCAAGATAATAAACAGTGTGATGACTAAAATCTGCAGTACACTTTCAAAATCACTGATTTTAGATTATCTGTGTCATTTCACTTAACAATTCAAAATATGTATTGAACTTGGATGTCAATAGTTAAGCCCGGGACATGGTTCCGTATCGTTTACAAGCTGTCTAAACGCCTTCCATATCTCTGGTATTTCGCTACACACAAGACCGCCTGCACGTCTAAACTGGGCTTCCTATGAATATGAAGAGTATTAGATGGCATTACAGTATTTCTGTTTGATTATCAGGATGATATGATCATTGAACGAAGAAAATTTGTTCTTAATAATTAATATTTTCTCCATGATGTAATCGAGTGATTGCAGTTCATCTGGTTTATTTGTATTTAATAGTTTTACTGTAATGATGGTGCTACCATATATTTTTATATTTATTATTATTGCTGCATGTCCAAGAACACTGTATGTCACAGGTTGTTGTTTACAGTATGCGGATGACTAAATCTTGTACCTGCAGAATATAACTTAGTTTTATGTGCCATCTTGTTTAGGTTTTTTTTTTTTTTTGAAAAAGAATGGCCTAGACACCAATGGCTAGTCTTTGCCTATGGGGACGATTGCACAAACTGTGCCATAAAAAATCGTTTTCGGTCAGCTGATTCCATATCAGGACAATAAAGAATCCGTTTTTGTCATCAGCCTATGAGATGGGAGACCCTGTCAGATAAATTTGAGATAAACATTTTATGTGGAGTACAGTACTGTACTTTTATTTTTTACATAATGTCTGGCAACCCTACAAAGTGTTTCGGTGGTGACCTTTAGGTTTAGGATTGATAAGATAGAAAAATTACCATTCTGTTGATGCCTCCAATACATGTCACTTGTCTGGTGTTGCCTGTGGACACAGCCCATTTTGAGTGGTCTTTGGTTTCCTTCTGTAAAATGATGCCAGGTAGACTTATCAACTTGATGTTTTGTACAGTAAATGTACTACTGCAGTTTGATTTAAGTTTGCCTCCTCCATTTTGCCAGGTTTCCGTAAACAGATTGGTTTTCCAATATGGAGCTAACCAGTTAGCATAAATATCTATTAAATAGAAAATAACAGTGAATTGATAATTGTAATAACAGAATAACAAAGTGAAATTAACTACTCTGGAAAATAAAAGTTATGCTGGACTTTCTGACTTTAATTAGTAGGTATTGATAATAATAAAATGTAACAAATTTAATTCAAAGTTGTAAGTATGGTTTTATTTTTCATCTATAGTTTGTATGTTTCAATATTTGTTTTATTACATTTATTCAAGAAAAGAAAAAACAGAATTTGTTTATATTGTATGCTAATTCCCTGGATTCCCATGTAAACACACATCACATAATGTTTTTGTGAGACTTTGGCAACATTATCCAAGGGGACACATAGGTCCATTTTGATAATACATCTATCTATCTTCTCCAATGAGTATTGGCCTCTGGTGTGAGGATTATCTTGTTACCAAAAATAATTGTATAACAGAAAACTACCTTTTATCTCATTTCATTTATTTTGTCATTAAAGATGAAAATAAACAAATAAACAAAAATAAAACATGAAGAAATACAAGAGAACAAGACAGAACTGCCAAAAACTAAAATTTATTACTGTCAGGTTCTAGCTAATAAAAAAAATGTGTAGAAAAAACAATAATCAAAAATGGTTGTCTGAATTTTAAATTAGGTCAAAAAAAAAAAATTTCAGCTTGTGTTGGCCATGTTTTGGAAAAATAAAAAAAATGGGTAGTTCAGAAGGACTTACTATTATTATTTATTAATAATGTGTTTATGTGTAAAAAGTAGAAAATACTCCAAAATACAACAAACACCATTTTTAATTCTATATTAATGAGCAAAACGATCTCAACTGTCGCATCGCCTACTGTCCAGCAAGAAGGGCCTATTCCAGCCTTTTTAGCTCGTTGAAAAAATATATTTTTAGTTGTAAAATGCCGAACCTCAATTACGTACATTTTGAGCCAACGCGATAATTCTTTTTATTTGGCCTTACGGCCTCTTGTGATTAGCTGATTCAGTTATAGAAAAAAGACCATTGAGGATTTTATAAAGTACAGTATATAAATGTCGTTGGCTGTTCCTGTAAAATGTGATATTTAGCGCACAATAGCAGTAAGCAGTAAAAATCAACAAAAATGTTAAAGTAACAACAATAGTGTTCAAACTGAACAACATCATTCATTGATAAAAATAATGACAAAAACAAAAATAATAAAAAAAAAACAAGATGAAAATGAATAATCATTAAAAGAATTAACGAGATTGTAATAATTTCATACCTTGGTTAAAACCTTTAGATTTGGAAAAACTTTGAAATTCTCTTCCAGCTTTTGAATATAATGTAACCATTTGTTTATATGGAGGTGTGTCAGTGTGCTTGTCATTTACAACATCCCTCAGACTTGGCACTTTGTCCACTAGCTGGTCTGGCAGATTAGAATCATATATTGACGGGTAGTTGTACAATAATTGCTCACCTATTAAATAATAAATATTATTGTACATATAACGTAATACCCCAAATTGAAGCCCAGTGGGCTTAATTTTGAGGTGAAGCCCATCTCGAAATGAAGCCCATGTACTTTTTTGCAAGATAACGTAGGCTTCTTTTTGAGATAGTACAGTTCTGTGCTGTTTCTGTGTTTTGGTGCATTGAATGTGTGCTTATGATTTGTATATCGGGTTTTAAATGCGGTATCTGTGAGCCAGATGTAATGCTTCGATTCTTCGTTTGTTGTGATTGTAGCTTTGTAAATAATTGAGGAGGTGAGGCAGTTTCCCGAGAGAAACAGCACAGAACTTTCAAGTTCATATGGAAACTAAAAGACAGCAAAACACAATACAATATCAAATGGTCCATTATTGATAGAGCCTCATCCTACTCACCCAAAACAAAGCGATGCAATCTATGCAATGCAGAAAAGTTTCATATAATTTATGCAGACAAACAATCTACTTTAAACAAAAGGCACGAAATCCTTTCAAAATGCAGACACCGTGCCAAATTCCTACTCAAAAACACATACTGTAATACCTAATTTGCATCTACACCGGCCCAACTCTACATATACACGTCAAATTTGAAATTCCCTTCACTCCTGAAGATTGCCTAGTGCATGAAACAGCCTGTAGAGTGAAATTCCTTATTATTAGTAATACCTGTATTAGATAATATTTTTGATACATACCAGAATATTGAAATTTGTAACATATTTGATAACCATTGTAAAACATATTTAATAAAAGCAATGACTGAAAGAACTGAACTAATGAAAAACATTACCACCAATATTTAATTTTTACGTTATTTACTGTACTTATAAACTTATATTTTGTGTCATTTTTATTTATTTATTTACTTTATATTCTGTAATTGAATTCTCTTCTTTTTTTTCTTTTTTTTAAAATTTTATTTTACTTTTTTCTATCTTTTTTTTTGTACATTAAGTTATTCCTTAATTACTACAGAATAATGAGAGCATTTGTTTTGTTTGTCCAGTATTTTTTCTTTACTCATTTTTCTTTTCAATAATTCATTTTTATATGTTGTCAGTTGTTGTTTTGTAACTGTTGTACGGGTCGAACCTCTCCTGCGCGAGAGTGTTCCTCTGTTATAAAAGAGAGAACCAATAAATCTTATCTTATCTAACTTAAGCCTACTGATAGTGCTGTAGACAAGATAACAGACAGTATTTTTTTTTTTTTTTTTTTTTTTTTTTTAACTTAATACAATATTATTAGTCAACACAGTTAGGTATGTTTGATCAAGAATTGATGTTTATTCAAATCAAAAGATGCCAGAGGTTCTAGTGGGTTCTTCCCTGATTCCCGGGCAGCCTTTAGTGAGCCAGCACCCTCCTTAAAATATAATATTGCAATGTTTGTTAATTTGTTTACAAAATCTTACCTATCAATTGAAATTGTTTCAAGTCAAATGTAATACAAAGGAAGGACTGGCCAAATGGCAGGGCATTGTTTGGCCAGACATAAGATTTGTTGGCAAAGTCTGGAAACTTTGGGGTACTGTGTATCAGCCAAAAGCCAGATGAAGAATCAAATGCTAATGCACCTGAAAGATATATGGATTTCATTAAATACATTATCACAATCATCATCTTTGGCATATTCCTGAATTAATATATCATTCTTAGGAGTAAGTTTTACCATTTACAGTACTGCACTGTGCTAACAGGGTTTTTAAGTACAGTAATCACTCAAGACAAGCATACTCTAATATAATTATTGGATTTTCTTCTTTTTTTAAATTTCTTTAAATTATTGCGCTGTCCTAAAAAGGCATCTTCTAATCAGCTTTTTGTTGTAAAAGTTACCCTATAGTGCAATAAATTAAATTAATTAAATTAATTAAATTAAATTAATAAAAAATAAATAAATAAATGGTTTTTAAAGTGCAAGATGATTATTCTATAACACACGTGGGCAAAGTGCAGTCTGCAGGCCACATGCAGCCCGACAGCATTTATTTTGCGGCCCGCAAAAACGAATTAAAAACCCTGTGTGCGCCCGTCAACCATCTTTGGCTAGAAAACATCTTGTTTTTTTACGGCCTGACACCCATGATCTGTAAAAAGTAATATTAAAACTCAGAATAAATTGGTATAGAAGGAGTGCATTAAGGTTTTTGGCAGCACACTGGAACCATCTGAATTTAGGTGCAGCCCTCAGTGGTAATCAAAAACTTGCTTTGGCCCTCCGACCACTTTTTATGCCCACCCCTGTTCTATAATCTTCATCCTGAAGAGCTGGACCCCAAAAAACAACCTGTAAATATTACTTTTTTATGTCTGACAACTCAAACAATAGTAGTTAAAGTTTAATCAAACAAACTTTTAGATTCTTGACATTTGTACTATCTGCACATTTTATGAATTAATTAATAGATTATTAACAATGTAAAACTTATGAATTTAGATTGAATGTCTTAAAGTACAGTATCAACATTAGCCAAGCCCAATATCATGAGTTTTTAAAGGTCTGCTCAGCATTTTATAGGATGCAGTCCAATAGGATTTATTGCCTGGGAATGTCTTCGGTTGTCAAGGGAAAATTAAACATTTAATATTCTATGATGCAATAGACCTATCGCATCTGTGTTTAACTCACACAGACCTGGTGTGTCAACCAATCGCGTCGAGCTGCTTCGTACAACGCTGTTTTAGTTGGCCTTTAAGTGCGAATGGGACAGAAAAGGAATGTCCAGCAAAACTGTGGATTTAAGAAAAATGAAATTAGAACTAACCTTTAGTATGACCCCTAGATGATGACTTAGGACCATTCGGCCATTCATCATTGTACATTATGTAACCAACATCCTGATATCAAAATGAATAAAAAAATAAATTATCGAAAGTGGTGGGTGTTTCACTTCCAACAAAACATGTTTAAGTATGAGCTGTTGTTTGTGTGTAGTAAAGAATTCTAAAGTCTTTGACAATGTGTGCAATGAAAATTAAATTTATAATTAGTTTGTACAGTGCATGCATGATGCAAACAATTATTTGTTTTCACTATCATTTAAAAATAATAAAATTTAATGTAACTTCCTTAAACTACTGTAGAAGCATGCAGTAAATAGGACCATTCGGCCATTCATCATTGTACATTATGTAACCAACATCCTGATATCAAAATGAATAAAAAATAAATTATCGAAAGTGGTGGGTGTTTCACTTCCAACTAAACTACTGTAGAAGCATGCAGTAAATTGTTTGAGCTTAAATTTCTTTAACAGGAAAAAGAACAATTTCTGAAAAGTAAACTCACACCACATTAGTTTAGAAGGGTTTACTGCACTACCCAGTGGCTGATTCAAAGGGGCAGGACCAGTGGCTGATTCAAAAGGGCGGGGGGTGGGGGGAAAAACTTATTCCCACATAGATATGTCATTACACCAATTTAACTTGAGGATTTTTTGTTTAGTTTTACTTCTTGGTAGCATAGAGTACATATTTTCTGGTTCAATTAATACTGTATATGTTTCAAGTATTTCCTTATTGTTGAGGATCAAAAACGTTCAATTCTGTGACCCACCAATCCGGGCTACCTGGCTTTTGCACAAAAATGTCAATACTATTTAATTGGAACATAATTTGATTGTCGGCAATCGTGAATTTGGGGAAACTGTAACCAAAAATGAGAATTTATATCAAAAGTTGCTACATAACTATAGCCAATCAGAAGACGACTAACAATGATGTTTGGCTTAGCTGCAAGGCCCTCAGCCAATCACAAACTACCTTCTATGCCATTTGTCCAATGTAAATAGTAAACAACACACTCCACTTGCAAGTATGGTGTTGGACAGAAGTTCTTCAAATGATAAATCTGAGCCGGTTTCAGGCATATTTTTGTGATATATGTTGTAAGAACCTAGAGTATGGTTGTGTCATTAAGCGTAAACAGCTTAAAGAAATTTAAGGATGTGCAACTCTGTGGAAAACAACAAATACGAGTCCTCAGTAAGGCCTATTAAGTTTCCGTCGAAGCTGATGAATAGCCTACATATATAACGAAGGGGATCAGGGATGGTGGTGCAAGTAGTAGTAGTCAAAATTGCACCGAATCTGTTTAAAGGTACGTGTGTGGTTACATATAACATTAAAAATGGTATGGTATGTTTTACTTAATTGAGAAGCACTAAGCGTCTCTCTATCACACCACACACGAAGACAGGAAGCCCTGCCTTTTCCTCAAACTGGGGTACTATCGACAAAATAACCACAGAGTACTGTATTGTGAATCAAATACGATGATGTTATATTGTAATAAGCATATTGAGACAATAATGTTGGCAATGAATCGACCCAGCATAAACAACCTACCATGAAGACAAATTAAGAATAGCCATCCACAATTATATAGCAACTATTTACTACTGTCTACCAAGAACAATTACTACACAAATTGAATCAATTCAGTTTTTTGGGGTGGGGGATATGCCCTTCAGTGACTGTGCTTAGACTAAGTAATTTAGGCTTAATTTGATTTTAATGTCTTCATGAAAAGAATATAACAAAATTATTATATTAATAGTACAGTATGCTTTATCTACATAGGAATCCTTAGACACAACATAACAAAAAATATATTAATTAATAGGTATCAAAACTGACTTAAGCTAATAATATTTATCAACACTTTGATGTCCAATTAAACATCACCACCTGCATTTAATATTGTATTATACTGATACTACTTATTTTTTTTTTTTTTTTATTTTTTTT